TTTTCCCTTTCTTTCTGCCCCTTGCTCCCTAGTTTTCTTCCCATTTGAACATTTGCTTCCTATTTCACAATATCTATTATACATTCTGGTCTTTATTTACACTTTCAGTTTCTCACACCACAGAAATCTTGTGATATTTGAATATGTGTATCTGATTTATTTCACTTAAGAATATGGTCTCAAGGTGCATCCATTTACCTAGAAATGTCTGTCTCAGGCTTATCCTTCTTTATGGATACATTGTATAAAAGAACCACAACTTCTGTATTCATTTATCCAGTTGATGGGCATTGGGGCTGTTTCCAAGATTTAGCTATTACAAATTGTGCCACTATAAACATGGATGTGCATGTATCACTGTGGTGTGATGCTTTTAATTATTTGGGGAAGATTCTTAGAAAGGGAATATCTGGGTCAAATGGAACCTCTAGTTTTAGTCTCTTTCTTTTTTGGGGGGTGGTGGTTTTGAGACAGGGTCTCATTATGTAGTTGAGACTGACCTGGAACTCACTATGTAGCCCAGGCTGGTCTCAAACTCACAGCGATCCTCCTGCCTCAGCCGCCCAAGTGCTGGGTTTACAGGTGTGTGCCACCATGCCCGGCTAGTTTTAGTTTCTTGAGAGATCTCCACACTGATTTTCACAGTGGTTACACCAGTCTACACTCCCACCAACAGTGGAGAAGAGTTCCTTTTTCCCCACATTCCCTCCAGCATTTGTTATTTGTTGATTTCTTGACAACAGCCATTCTTTCTGGAGTGAGATGAGAGATGCACTCAGTTTGAATCTCTTGAATGACCAGTGATGCTGAACATTTTTCATACATTTATATACCATTTCTCCTTCTTCTTCTGAGAAGTGTCTTCATTTCAGATGCCCATTTTTGGGTTGGGCCTTTAAATGTAGGGGGTCTGATTTATATATTTATATATTCTAGAGGTGAGTCCTTTTTCTGAGGAACAGCTGGCAAAACTTTTTCCCATGCTATGTGCTGTCTCTTCATTCTGTTGGTGGTTTCTTTTGCACTACACAATATCTCAGTTGTTGATTCTTTGTGATACTTCCTGCATTACTGGGATTTTGTTTATGAAGTGTTTGCCAACACCTATGTCTTCAAGAGTTCTATGTATTCTATCTTCCAGAAGATTTAGTGTTTCTGTTTTAACATTTAGATCTTTGTGGTAGAGGACATCAGAAAATGGAAAGAGATCCTTTGGTCTTGGTGGGGAGAACCGATATAGTGTAAATGGCCATAGTTCCAAAATTGTTATACAGGTTTAATGCTCTCCTGATCAAAATTCCTATAGCATGTCTCACAGAATTAGAAAAAGCAATCCTAAAATTCATTTGGAACTAGGAAATATGTAGAATAGCCAAAGCAGTTTTAGGACAGGGGGTATCAATCCCTGGCCTAAAATTATACTATAAAGCTACAGTGCTAAAAACAACATGTTACTGGTGAAAAACAGACGTGAGGATCAATGGAACAGACTCAATGGAACAGACTAGAAGATGTAGAAACAACATCAAACACTCTCAGTCACCTTATCTTTGACAAAGGGGCCAAATGCCTTCACTGGAAGAAAGATAGCCTTTTTTAATAAATGGTGCTGGGAAAACTGGCTTTCCACATCCCAAAGACTCTCCCCAGGCACTAAACTAAAATCTAAATGGATCAAAGATCTAAATTTTTTGAAAAGACCTAAAATTTTTATACAAAACATTTATTAGTGCATTTTAGGCATGCATAATGATAACATTCATCATAGGGAATTTGCACCTATATATGGTACATCCCGCCTCTTTTTTCCACATCCTCTGCTCAAGCCCCCTTCCCTCCCTATGTACAAAAGCTTTGTTTCCATTTTTCCTTCTATTTTCATTTTTTTCTTGTCCTTTCCTTTCTTTTTCCTTCTCTCTTCATTATATTGGTTCTTCCCACCCAAAACAAAGGATATCTTTCCATTTTCTGATATCCTTTTGAGTCTCCTTTTTTAGTGTAAAGGTCTTTTACTCTCTTTGTGAGACTGATTCCTAAGTATTTCATTTTCTTGGATGCTATTGTGAAAGGTATAGTTTCCCTAATTTCTCTCTCAGTGAGTTTGTTATTCATGAACAGGAATGCTGTTGATTTTTTAGTGTTGACTTTATATTTGGCTATGATACTGAGTTTAGTCTAGAAGTCTTTTGGTGGAGTTTTGGGGATCTTTTGTATATAATGTCATTTGTAAATGATAGTTTAACTTCTTCCTTTCCTATCTTGATCTCTTTTATTTCTTTCTATTGTCTAATTGCTATGGCTAATGTTTCCAGAACTATATTGAATAAGAGTGGTGATTGTGGCCATTCTTGGCTTGTTCCTGATTTTAGAGTGAAAGCTTATAATTTTTGACCATTTAGTATGATGTTGGGCATTGGTTTGTCAAGGATGGCTTTTATCAGATTGAGAGAAAGACCATCAATTCCAATTTTCTATAGTTTTTTTTTATCATGAATGATTATTGGACTTTGTCAAATGTTTTTCTCCATCTATTCAGATAATCATGTGGTTTATGTCCTTGGCTCTGTTAATATGGTGTGTTACATTTATTGATCTGGGTATGTTGAGCCATCCTTGCATTGCTGGGATGAATCCTACTTGGTCACTATGTATGATCTTCTTGGGACTTTGCTGCATTCTGTTTGCTAGTGTCTTACTGAGGATTTTTGCATCTATGTTCATTAGGGAGATTGGTCTGAAGCTCTCTTTTTGCTTGATCATTCTCTGGTTTTAATATCATGGTAATGCTTGCTTCCGAGAATGAGTTTGGGGTATTGCTTCACTTTCAATTTCATTAAAGAGTTTGAAGAGTAGTGGCATCAGAGCTTTCTTGTAGAATTCAGGAATTGAATCTGTCAGGACCTGAGCTTTTTTTGTTGTTCACAGGTTTTTGTTTTTTTTGTTGTTGTTGTTCATAGATTTTTAATTAAATCTTCAATTTCATTGATACTGGATTACTGTATATATTCTTCATTCAGCTTTGGTAATTCATATTATTTAGGATTCTGTCCATGTCTCCTGTCCCATTCTTTTATAATACAGGTTCCTAAAGTAGGTATTAATGATCTTCTGAATTTCTGCAGGATCTGTTGTGATTTTACCCTTTTCATTCCTAATTGCATGTGTTTGAGTATTTTCTTTCTTTCTTTTTTTAATGAGGATGTCTAAGGGCTTATCAATTTTATTTAGTCATTCAAAAAACCAACTCTTCAATTCATTGGTTCTTTGTATTATTTTCTCTGTCTCCATTGCATTAATTCCTGCTCTGATCTCTATAATTTCCTCTTTCATATGAGCTTGGGTTTGATTTCCTCTTCTTGTTCTAGAAGCTTGAGGTTCAACATTAAGTTGTATATTTGAGTTCATTCTGTTTTTCTGATGTGTGGATTCACTGCTATAAATTTCCCTTGTATATCTGCTTTTACTGTGTCCCATAAGTTTTGCTATATTGTACTGACATTCTCATTTAATTGTAGAAACTGTCTTTTCTTCTTTTAAGGGCTTATCAATTTTATTTAGTCATTCAAAAAACCAACTCTTCAATTCATTGGTTCTTTGTATTATTTTCTCTGTCTCCATTGCATTAATTCCTGCTCTGATCTCTATAATTTCCTCTTTCATATGAGCTTGGGTTTGATTTCCTCTTCTTGTTCTAGAAGCTTGAGGTTCAACATTAAGTTGTATATTTGAGTTCATTCTGTTTTTCTGATGTGTGGATTCACTGCTATAAATTTCCCTTGTATATCTGCTTTTACTGTGTCCCATAAGTTTTGCTATATTGTACTGACATTCTCATTTAATTGTAGAAACTGTCTAATTTCTTCTTTAATTTCATCTGTGACCCATTGGTTGTTCAGGAGAGTGTTATTTAATTTCCATGTGTTTATAAAGTTCTTGTGGTTTCTTTTGCCATTGATTCCTAATTTCATTGCACTATAGTGTGATAATATGCATGGGATAATTTCAATTCCTTTTCATTTACTTAAGCATTTTCTATGAGCTGTTATGTGGTCTACTTTGGAGAACATCTGATGTGCACCTGAGAAAAATTTGTGTCCTGATGTTGTGGGGTGGAACACTCAGCAGACATCTACTAAGTTCATTTGTTCAAAAGTTTTGTGCAGTTCTGGTATTTCTTTGTTGCTTTTTGTTGTCTAGTTGATCTGTCTATTTGTGACAGTGGGTCATTGAGATCCCCCATAACAATTGCATTAGTGCTTATTTGATTTTTCTTGTCTGTTAATGTTTGTTTTCCATAGTTGGGTGCACTTGTATTTGGGTATATACATACTTATGATTGTTATCTCTTCCTCTTACAGTATTCCCTGTACAACAAGGATGTAGTGACCTTTGTTTCTTTTGATCAGTCTTGGCTTGAAATCCACTTTGTCTGCAAATAGAATAGGTACCCTTTATTTGGGGGGGAGGTCCTGTTACATGGAGTATTGTTCTCCATCCTCTGACTTTCAGTCTATAAATTAATTTTTTTCATTATATGTGTTTCTTATATGCAATGTATTCTTGAATCTTGTTTGTTGATCCATTTTGCCAGTCTATTTTGTTTTGTTCAGTGAATTTGAGCCTATTTATATTAATGGTTATAACTGATACGTGTTGACTTATCCTTGTCATGTTATTTAATCCTGTTGTTGGTTCCCTTTCTTTCCCCTCTGTTTAATTACTTACATTTTCTGGGTTCATTCTGCTGCAGTTCATGGAGTTGTAATCTTCACTGTCTCTTTTAGAATATTCTTCAGAATATTTTGGAGTGCCTGTTTGGTGGTCATAAATTTTTTCAGATGTTCTTTGTCGTGGAAGTATCTTATTTCCCCATCAATTTTGAAAGATAGCTTTGCAGGGTACATCAATCTGGGTTGGAGGTTGTTTTCTTTTAGGATTTGGAATACTTTACTCCAAGCTCTCTTTGACCTAAGGGTTTGTGGGGTTTTTTGTTTGTTTTATTTTTTATGGAATTATTTGTGAATTTGTGTGTCATCCTTGTGCAGGGGCCATGCTAATCTTCCCTGTATCATTCCAATTATTTTTTTGTAGTATATGTGCTGCTGAAGTGAACACCTAAGGGTTTGCCTTGAGAAGTCTGCTGTAATTTTTTTTCTGCATTTTTGATAGGCTTTCTTTTATAGGTGATTTGTTTCTTTTCCCTAACAACTTTTAATATTCTCTTCTTGTGTTGCATTTCTGGAATCTTGACTATTATATGCATTGATGTAGGCGTTTTTTACCATGGCTAATTGGAGTTCTATGTGCCTCATTTGTCTGTATGTCAAATTCTTTTTCCATATGTGGTAAATTTTATGCCATTATTTCTGTGAACAGGTTTTTTTTTTTAATATTGTTTGCACTATCTCCTGCTTTTTCATTGACTCTCCTCAATCTCATATTATTCTTCTTTGCATCATCTAGCAGCTGTTTAACTGATTTTTCTTAGCCCCTTGCTATTTTTGAGAAATCTTTCTTTTCATGATTACTAACTGCAATCCTGTCTTGTAGATCTTATATTCTTTCCTCACATTGGTTCATTCTGCTGCATATACTTTGAATAGCCTTTTTAATCTCCTGGATATCATATTGACCCTATTTCATAGATTCCATTTATTTCCTATGTTAGACATTCATGGTTTCCATAGTTTTCTTAAGCTCCTTTTTAAAAAAAAAATCTCTATTTTCTCTAGATTCACTAAGCATGCCCTTCATCATGGTTAGCATCTCTGAAGTTACCTGAGAAATTATTTCTGACTTGATTTTTTTCTAAAATCTCATTAATATGCTTCATTACTTTTCTAGAACCTCATTAATCTGCTTCATTAACCTTCATTAATCTGCTGTTATCACTTCAGAGAGTCCAGGTGGGTGACTTTCAAATTGTTCCACCTCTTGCCCCCCTTGGTTTGCTTTTAGACAGCTGGCATTCTGGGATTGCCTCTTACTTCTGTGTCTTCTCATTTTTCATTTTATTTTAGTTTAATTTCTCTGTTGATGCCTATAAATTGTTTATGGTAGGTATTTTTATTGCTAGTATCAGGAACACTTTGGAAATGACTACTTCTCAGAGATGTCTTCCAGGTGTAGCTGGCTTTTGGTTTAGCAATATCCTACATCTTCAATTTACTTGGGATGAGACATTGCTATCTATTCAGCCAAGTCCCTGGATCTTTGGCACTGGCATACAGCATTGTTTATGACCCTTAGGCATTCTTGGTCTTGGCATACAAGGAAGAACAATTGATTTTAAGAATTTTGTCACCTTGGCTAAATTAGCACAATCAGTAATGACAATAGCATCAAATACAGCCTAGAAAATGACAAACTGTGATAACTATTCATTTCCCACCTTTAACAAGGGTAATATAGACTGCGCTAGTTAGGTACAAATATCAGGCAGTCAGACAAGGCTGGGCTCTGAAAGTCAATGCAGAGGATGAGAACACAGCAAAGCTGAGGCTAGAGGTGTATCTGAAGATTAAAGTCACAATGGCCAGGTGTGCATACTTCCTTAAGGGATAAATGGAAGCTTGAGATTATTAGTACCATCCTTTTGGGCTTCCCCATATAGATAGACCATTATCTCACTGTGGGGGGGGGGGCTATCCTCATCCATCCACTAAAACCACTAAGACTAAGAAGACTTAAGACTAAGACTACAGATATTGACCAAAAGTGGTTTTTTGTTTGTTTGTTTGGTTTCGTTTGGTACTGGGGATTGAACTCAGACCCCTTGCTTGTCAGGCAAATGCTGTAACTGCTGAGCTACATCCTTGGCCCTTGACTAAAGCTAGTGATGTCATCCATATATCTTTGTTACTATTGGGTCAATATTACCTAAGTGACTATACTTGTAATTTTATTGGTTGATTATAATTTTTATCCCCATGGTACCCCCCCTTGTGATTTTGCTCTATAACACTTCCTTTGAGAAGTGGGTTCATTGGCAGCACATTCAGGACTTCTTCTGTCTCCCAGGAGCTATTCTTATTCCCCTTTCCTATTCCCCAATAAATTTTCCTACTCTTAACCTCCATTGTTCCTTAGAATTCATTCTTTGACTTTGGGAACATGAACTCAGTTTATCTGACATCTAGCTTAATGGGAGTTACATCTATTCACCCTATCGATATGAACTATATTTGTGGTTATATAACAAAATCTAAAACAAACCAGAAAATCAAGTACAGTAAATATCCTCTTAAAATGGTGATTTTATCCCCTGGGGAGAAAATGTAAAATGAGTTAGGGGAAAAGTAGAGAAATGGAAGAAAAGAAAGAGATTTTTTAAAAGGCTGAAGGACACAGGAAGATTACACAAACTCTGGGAACTGGTGAAGAAGATAGGAGGGAAAAAGGAGGGAAGAAATAGAAACAACAGAATAAAACAACAAAATAGACACAATGTTCACATTCATATAAAAACAAAAACAATCAAGGCAAGGAGAAAAAAAGAAAAGAATTAAAATCAAAGAAATGAAGAAAAGCAGAAAAAAAAAGAGTCCACTTCAGAGCATATCTCTGCTGTCACAGTTAAACAGATCCATACTGATTGACCTCGGCAAAGTAGCAATAGAATTATGGCGGTGGTGGATAATTCCAACAAACCTGAGCCATTAGTTCCATTGAAGTCCATGCTGCTTCTGATTTCTGTTTGTGAGTTTTTCAGCCTGCATCACTCTGAGTACCTCTTACTGGTTTGAACTGAGCTCCCTGAGCTCACTCTGGTTTGAATTTAGTTCACTCTGACATGTCAAACCACTAGATGGAGCCAGCCTGCAGCTGCTGTGAGTTCTGAGTTCAATTGGCCCCTTTTCGAAATGGCTACTGGAAGGGCTGGGGATTTAGCTCAGCACTTCAGTGGCCTGCCTTGCACGTGCAAGGACCCAAGTTCAATCCCTGGTACAAACAAAACAAAACAAAAAACACACACAAAAATCCCAAAATGGCTACTGGCCAATTGCCCTCTTTTGAAGGGAGGGTGTCTGAACCTGAATAACTCACCAGCCACTGCAGTTCACTGTGCCCACTACTTCATTTCACTGCTGCGTTTCTCAGGGGAGGCCTCTGGAGCCTCCAATAGTCACTATGCCCCTGCAGGCTCAAGCTGTGCCTCCCACACAGTGAGCCAGGGCTCAGGGAGAAAGTGTTGCTAGCCACCTCCTTCTATGTTGTGGTTCCTCACTTCGCTCTCCTTATGGGCTCTAATTCTCACTTTAGATCCTTGCTGGATCCCAGGAACCCACCTCCCTTCTCCTTCTCTTCCTTATATTGTTATATTGCAGCATCTGGATTCCAAATATCAGAGAGGCTGTTTCTCTGCTGCTCATCTGGGGATTGAATCCAAGGCCTTGTACCTACTAGACAAGCACTCTATCACTGAGCCACATCTGTAGTCCTCTTTAATTTCTTAAAAGTTTATCATTTTTAATCTATACTTTTTGTGATCATCTCAAGTTGAAAACAGAACTACACAAATGTGCCCAAATAATTTTTAATGAAGGTGCAAAAGCAATTTAATGGGACAACTACTGTTGCAGCAATTATATAACCTACCCCCCTAAATGAATCTCAATGTAAACCTCTATATATGGTATACAAAATTTAACTTAAAGTGGATTATGGTCTTCAACATAAAATGTAAAACTATAGGCCTTTTAAAAGAACATATAAATAGGGTGAATTATTTGAGAAATAAAAATAGGTAAAGAATCATAACATCAGATGTATAATCCTTAAGAGGAAAAAAATGGATATATTGGATCCCATTAAAATTAGAAACCAAACATTCCAATGAGGAAATGAAGAAGAAATGCAAACAAGCACACAAAGAGGTGAATACTTCATAGGATGAATATTCATTATAGCCCAAACCTGGAACCAACCCTAATGTTCTTCAACAGATGAGTGGCTGAACAAACAATGGCACATCCATACCATGGAATACTACTCAGCACTACAAAGGAATGACAAGTGCTACAACGTGAATGGTCCTCAAGAGCATCACATCGATCTCAAAATTGATATCCTATAGGATTCCATTCATATAACATTCTTAGGATAACAAAATTATACAGATAGAGAATAAGTTAGTGATTTCCACGAGTTTGGGTGTGGTGTAGTAGGACAACAAGGACAAATGGGAGATGAATATACCTATAAAACAGTCATAGGAGAGGTTTTGGGAGTCACAGAGCCATTCCTTATTTTGACGAAGGTGGTGATTATTGGAATCTTATATGTGTGATTGCATGTAATTAAGTATGCATAAATGAATGCATGTAAAATTGATGAAATATGAGTAAGATGAGTAGAGTGTATCATTGTCAATTTCCTGGTTATGATGTTGTGTTACAATTATGCAAATGGTGTGATCGAGACAATGTAGGTAAAAAGTATACAAGCTTTCTCTGTAGCTGATAGAGAATAAGTTAGTGATTTCCACGAGTTTGGGTGTGGTGTAGTAGGACAACAAGGACAAATGGGAGATGAATATACCTATAAAACAGTCATAGGAGAGGTTTTGGGAGTCACAGAGCCATTCCTTATTTTGACGAAGGTGGTGATTATTGGAATCTTATATGTGTGATTGCATGTAATTAAGTATGCATAAATGAATGCATGTAAAATTGATGAAATATGAGTAAGATGAGTAGAGTGTATCATTGTCAATTTCCTGGTTATGATGTTGTGTTACAATTATGCAAATGGTATGATCGAGACAATGTAGGTAAAAAGTATACAAGCTTTCTCTGTAGTATTTCTTACAGCTGCCGGTGAACCTGTAACAGTGTCAGAATAAGAAGTTCAATTAAAAGAACGAATGAGGTTACGTTTTCAATCATGCTTTAAAAAAATAGGGAGGAGCCATGGGGAAAGACTATTACCTTCTATTCATTGATCATTACTTATCCCAGACACACACACACACACACACCCAAATCTTACACAGATTGAAATAGGAAGATAATTTCAGAATTGTTCATCTGGCCATAACTAATAAGGGAATAAAGGGAACTGCAAATCAATTGGAGCAAAAACTCTTTGCATGTTTCGTAAA